ATCCATCTCAAGATCTTCATCTCCGCTACACTCATCTATGGGTATATTGTTTTTTATCTACCCAACATTCCTCCCCATAGAGCAAAGTTGGTCTCACAGCTATCATGTAGAACTTGCCCTTATTATAATAAAAATAAAGATCTTTGTTTAGAGGAATGATTTCATGTAACGGTTGTATAGTGATATAATGAAATAATCTTCAAAAACCATGTTAGTACTATTTGTTTGACTCCAATTTTTAAACATGTTAGTGCTATTTGTTTGACTCCAATTTTTAAATATACACTCTTTTCATTCCAATGAACAATCACCAAAAAAATAAAATTTGAAAACATACCCTACAAAGTATTTGTTTAGCACAATTAACATAAGCCGTCCATTTTGTTAAGATGCTTAAATCTAGGCCTTAAAAGGATTTTTTTTCCCTTTCAAAATTTTTAGATATCTTTGTTATCATTAGATAAAAATGTTGAATTGAATTTTATTTTTTTGGAAATTGACCATTGGGATGAAGAGAGGGTATGTGCAATTTTTGGGGTCATACAAATGCTATAAACATGGTTTTCTAAAAGTGTGGTTTCATTATTTTACTATACAACCGTTACATGAAATCATTCCCCCTTTGTTTCAAATAAAATAGGTCTATATTTGAAATACAAAACCAATTACACAAAAAACAAAGTGGCTAACTGGAGAAAATAAAACAAGTTTATTTTCTTGAAAACCCTTTGGAAAAGCCTCTTAAAGAAGCTTTAGAAAATAGTGCTAGCATTGAGACCAAAACCTCTCCTTGGGGCTCCATGACTACATATGACCTCATCTAAACCCTAAACTAATCAAATAGACCCATGACCCACAAGTCTCCTATGCAAGGGGCTCATAATTGTCCTATCGAAGCTGGCCAAGGCATGGAAGTGCCACAATCAACAAATAGTCAGTTTCCAGTTGCACTATACAAAGGCAAATTTAGGGTCCTATGCACAAACCACGAATATTTATACAGGAGTTCCAAGGTTTCCTCCTTGTACAGTGCAATCTTTCTCAGAGATATGCATGTTAAATGGTCATAATGAGCCAACAAACTCCAAGATCACACAGATCTAAGGCAACACATTCTGTGTAGGAATCCATTGCCGAGGTTTCTAGGCACTTGTCCTCACAAGCTCCTTTGCATCCTACACCATAAGAGCCTCTTTCATCTCCTGGCCACGAATAATACCTACTAGCCTGGCTATGCTGACCTCGACAAGGTACCCGTTGCAATGCGCATCATGGGACCAACCACGAACAGCCCAGGGTGTGGGTTCACTCATCTACCTAATGATTAGTTGCTTGCCAAGGCGAGAGTGATGGAGCCCTCCATGTACTAGATAGGGCCCGGTTCCCTGCTCATGCCCTGCTGTACCCATGAAGAGCGACACTCCCCTCAAATTGAGAGTAATCGGTATCACATAAAAACGTGAGGAATGCCCACAGGACAGTTGTTGCTCCTTGACTGTCCCTAAACATTCCCCCTGTACCTGAGTTACTAGGGTTACTGAAAGAGCAAATTTTGAAATTTAGTTTGATGGTGCCATTTTTATGAGAGATCTAGTGGGAAGATTGATTGGATGGGGTTTCAATTTAACCTGATAACGGTCCCCCAGTGCAGTGAGATGTCCAAGGTGGAGACTGGAGAGGCCTTTGAATCCTGTAAACAATATTGCCCAAGCTAGTCGCCAAACTCTTAGCAGTTTAGTTTTGCAGATCATGGTTTATGGTCCCATTTTTAAGGGCGACCCAGTGGTTGATGGTGCTGTTTCTAGAGCGACCCACTGGGATGATTGACTAGATGGTTTCGATTTGATCTGTTATAGTTCCCCGGTGCAGTAAGGAGTCCAAGGTGGAGAGGCCTTTGAAACCTTTCCACATTTTTGCGCAACTTAATTCCCAAAACCTTGGCAGTAGATTAAAGCTCAATTAACCAGGCGAACTCTATTTTCCTCCAGCCCATACTAGAGAAAATTTGTCATTAAAAAAGTCCAACTTGTGGACTATCATTAGGGGCATTTGGAAGAAGGAAGATTGAACACTGATGTGCTAGATAATGTGGCCTTCATGAGAGTTCATCTTCTTGTCAATGATAGAAATCGACCTTTCCAAGACGAAATTGTTACTCCCTGACCGTCTTAACAGGCCCCCTTAACCTGAGGTACCAGGGTTGCTGAAATAGCTACCGTCGAAATTTAGTTTGATGGTGCCTATTCAGGAGCGACCCAGTGGGAAGATTGATTGGCTGGGTTTCAGTTTGACCTTTTTACAGTCCCTCAGTGCAGTAAAAAAGTACAAAGGTGGAGAGGCCCATGAAACCTTTCCACAGTATTACCCAACCTAATCCCCAAATCCTCTGCAGTTTTGGTTTTGTAGATCGTAGCCCAAGTAATCCCGTGAACTTTGTTTTCTCCTACAGCTCCAGACCAGTGAAAATCCCTCATTAAGTGCTCCAACTTTTTGACTGTCATTATGGGCATTTGGAAGAAGGAAAGATTGAACACCATTGTACTAGATAATGTTGCCTTCATGAGAGTCAGCCTTCCTGCCAATGGTAGAAAACAACCTTTCCAACAGGCAAGGCTCCTCTTGAATCTTTCAACCGCCACGTCTCACTGTCGTTTCTAGGGCGTACCTATGCACAAGTGCATGCTAAGGTACTTGCTTGTTGTTGACGCCTCAACCCAATTCTTTTAGCTTGGTTTGAGACTGTGAGGTTACCATCCCCAATGCTCATTAGTCTGGTGTGGTCATACTGACTTTGAGGCACATAGACAGCTCAAAGCAGACGACAAACAGCTCTAATGTCTTCCTGCTGGGGGAGCATGTCGCAAATGCAAATGTATTGTCAGCATCATGTAAGTGCGATATGGAGGGGCCTCTACTCGATGATCTGAAGCCTTAGAGGCAGTTTAAGTCATTCAGTTTGGAAATAGACCTGCTAAAAACCTTGGTCTGAAAATCTCGATTCCGTTTTGGAATCACATGTATCACATGTTTCCTAATCATGGAATCGTTGTCCGTACGATTTGGAGTTACGAATCCTGATTCGCACTATATCGGAATCGCAATCTAATAAAATAGGAATCGTGTTTCTTATTTGTAAGAATCAATGTCCCTTCATGTTGGATTCAAGTTTCATACCTATATGGAATCGCACTTGACCCCACATAGTTAAGTGGATCTTGGAATCGCGATCCGATGAGATTGGAATCGTGATTCTTAAAAATATAGAAATGTGAGTCCTAAAATTATGGAATCGTTGTCTCCATAAACTTGGAATCAAGATTCTCAGCATTTAGGAATCGAGATTCTCCCCATATTGGAATTGCGCACCAATCCCCTCCGATATGTGAGAAGTATTTAGAAAATATTTAAATTTTATCATTATTACAAGATTGAATTTTGGTTTGTATATATTTAGTCCAATTACCAATGTCAACATTTGTGATATCTTTGTCAATAATCCCATACAATGGACTCAGTCTATCAACAACCCTTCACCTACAAGGCTTGGAGCTCGTCTACAGCGTACAACTAGTAAGACCAAGGGCGAGCTTCCTCTAGCTCCTTTCCTTGCATTATAAAATAAGCAGAGGACAGAGAAATTCTTCTTTGTTAAATGTAGTTTTGACTTTTGAAAATTGAGTTATTCAATTTTAAGTCAATTTTTGATGTTTAATGATTAATTTAATCTAAAACACCATAGGGCACTTAACTCATATGCTTATCCACTTATTCTACTTGAAGAAAAGCAGTGGTAGCATATCTTGTTACCCATCACATATTAAATAATATTACATTAGTACCCACATCATTTAGCAAAAATTATTAAATTTGAAGTAACAAATTTTTTTAGTAATATTTATTCTTGGTAAGAGTTGTTAAAAATTATGGAATTCGAATACAAGGATAGATATTCCTAAAAATTTCAAATCAACAACATGGATTCGCAATTCCTAAAAATTTGGAATCAACGTTTCGCACAAGTTGAATCGTATTGTTGTGTAGCTAAGAATCACGATGTCTGAATCTTGATTTCAAACAACATGGATTCACAATTCCTAAAAATTTGGAATCGATGTTTCGCATGGGCAGAATCTCATTGTTGTGTAGCTAAGAATCACAAAGCCCGCGATATGGAATCTTGATTCTAGACTTCCAGGAACCAAGATTCATAAACTAAATTAAATCGCGTTTCGAGAAACTTGGAAACGTGATTCCTTTTTTTCAGAATCAAGTTTCGTCCTGGGAAATGCGGAATCGAGATTCCGAAACGGAATCGCTACGCTAGTGAGTGATTCGGGTAACTGTAGTTCTAACCAATAATGCGTAACAAGTCTTTTGTCTGGATATCTCGGCATTCTGTGTTTGTACCACATACAGGAGATCAGACTGGAATGATAGGACGGACTAGTGTAAATAGGATCTAATGAGTGTAAAAATATTTCCTTTTCTCCTTTGTTCTGAGTGGTTATCAGCATGTTAAGAAGTTCATCTTGAGGAGGAGTAACCTCAAGAAGAACAGCTTCACAATGGCTGAATGCCTGAATACAGTTGATGTAAAAGTGGGACTGTTCCTATAGATCCAAAATCAAGACCATGCCTCTGCTAGCTATCCTGCATGCTTCCAGATCTCTTTCCTTTAAACACCATAACTGGTCCTTCTAGTACTTGGTGGAGTTCCTGTCTTTTTTTTTAAAAAAACAGCATGGAGTCCTTGACCTTATCTTGCTTTCATACACACACACACAGGTTTAGATGATTTTGTAAAATTCCTTATATCCACTCCTTGCTCCTTTCAATTTCAAATTTCCTCCCATAAAGCCAGTATTTCAATTTAAAAAATCATCAGGTGAATAACGTTTCTACCTTGTTCAATTCAGTAGAATCTAAGAGTTCATGTAGATTCCAAAGGAATTCAATGTACATTTATTTAAGCTGATCTCTTGTTCAAACATCTTAAACAGGGTCTTCTGCACGTGCTCAACTGGATCTCTTGGAACAACTGACATCTACCAGCTCTCCTGATGGTTGTGATTGTCTCTTCTTCTATCTCTAATTTCCTCTTGCTTCTTTTCAAAAACTTATTTTCTACTCACAAATCCATCTCAATTCCAGGTTATGAGAGCAATAGAGGTTCCACGAGCCCAACCATTCGGGAGCAGCTTGCTCAACTGGTCGAGAATGAAATTGGTGAATTCAGTCTTCCCTTGGGCAAGAAGCTGAGAAGGAGCATAAAGACCTTAACCACTTCACAGAAGAGAAACATCAGGAGACAGGCTTACTTAGACAAAGTCTCACAGAGAAATGACACTATTTTCTTCGCCACCATTGCTTTCTTTGTCATTGTTCCTCCCCTCCTCATATTAGCAGTGGCTATTCTGACTGGTTATGTCCAGCTCCTTCCATAAGTGTGTGGGTTTGTGTGTGTGTGTATATAAATATCCTTAACTGGTTATGTCCATGTCCTTTCATTACTGTGTGTACCTAGTAAGTCAAATATTCATCTGAATCCATATCAATTACACAAAAACCTAGCTCTGGCGCATACCCCTCTTCCTTAATATTAATATAAAGATCCGATAGTGCTGCAAGGATAGAGTCTCTTTGTGGGTGAGATCTATCTCCAGCTAAAAACAGTTGTTTGTACCCTCGAATCTCAATCCAACTACACCCTGGCTTCTTCTGCAATTGTTGCCCCTTCATTGCTGTCCTAACTCTTGCTGCGTCTTCCCACATGCCAGCTCCTGCAAATATATTAGAGAGAGTTGCATAGGTCCCAGAGCTATCGGGATTCAATTCAAGTATTTTCTCAGCTGCTTGTCTTCCAAGCTCTGGATCACTATGGAGTTGACAGGCTCCAAGCAATGCTCCCCACACAACAGAATCTGGTTCAAAGGGCATGTCTTTGATCAATGTCATGGCATCTTTCAAATGGCCTGCTCGTCCAAGAAGGTCAACCATGCAAGCATAGTGGTCTCTTCTAGGGTTTAAGCCATGGTCTCTGCTCATTGACTCGAAGTATTCTCGACCTTTTTCAACTTCTCCAATATAACTACAAGCTGAGAGGATACTCACATAGGTTACGTGATTGGGTTCAATACCTGATTTAAGCATCTCATTAAAGAATTCCAATACATGGTTTCCTTGCCCATTCTGAGCATACCCTGTAATCAGTGTGTTCCATGATATCGTATCGGGTTCCTCCAAATTATTGAAGATTTGTTCTGCATTTTGCAGACTTCCACATTTACTGTAGGCTGCCATTAGAGCATTGGTGACCCCTTTGTCTGAGTCGTATGCTCTATGTATGGTGATTGCGTGTATGGTTGAGGCTTGATGCAATGCCCCAATGGCTGCACATGCAGTGAGAGCACAGTTATAGGTGAAGTTGTCTGGTCTAATACCTGACTGCTCCATCTTGTAGAATAGGGTTAGGGCATCTTCAGCCCCTGATAATGGGTCTTTTGTATAAGTTACAGTTATGCTGGTCTCTGACATTGGGTCCACTGTTATCTTTCCAGCTTGAAGATATCCTGATATCATAGTGTTCCAAGAGATTAGGTTTTGTTGGGGCATGCTTTCGAAGGTCTGGCGAGCTTCTTCTATCCTCTGATTTGTTAAGTAAGCTGAAACCATGGCTGTCCAAGAGACCACATCATGTCGAGGCATGCTCTGAAACACCATGTATGCATTGTTCATGCATCGTTGCTCACCATACATGGTGACTAGGCAATTTCCAATAGATATATCTACCTCAAAACCCATCTTAATTGCAAACCCATGAAGCCCAAACCCAGTTTTGTTCTTACCTGAACAGCTGTTTAGGAGGCTTGATAATGTGTGCTCATTGGGCCTTACTCCAGCCTTTATCATATCGGATAATAGAGAGAAAGCTTCAGTTTTGAGCTCATTCTGCACATATGCAGAGACCATAATGTTATATGAAATTACATTTTTCTTAGGCATCTCTTGAAATAGAGAAGCTGCCTCTGTGATGTATCCATTCTGAGTGTAAGCCCCTACTAAAACTGACCACGAGACCACATTATGCTCAGAGGCTTCGAAAGATTTGTGGGCGCTAATGATATCGCCAAATTTAGCATGCATTTCAATAATGGCAGTCCCTACGTGCGCATCAGCCTCTGTTCCAGATTTTATCAGATATGATTGGATTTGTTTGCCTGTCTCAATGGTCTGAAGGCCTGCACATGCCTTGAGAACAGACACAAAGCTTGACTGGTTTGGTTTTTCTCTTTCTTTAAGCATCTTGACAAACTTGGCCAAAGCACTGATGTTATCTCCTTCTTGTTGGTACCCCCCTATCATGGCATTCCATGAGACCACATTTCTCTGAGGCATCTCATTGAAAAGTTTCATGGCTGCTTCTGTTTTGCCATTTTGGGCATAACCTGAAACCATTGCTGTCCATGAATACACGTCTCTCTGTGTTATCGCTTCAAAGACTCGTTCAGCATCATCCATGCACGCACATTTTGAATACATATTGATCAGAGAATTACTGACTGTTACGTCTAAAACAAACCCTTTTTTGACTATAAAACCATGAATTTGCTTGCCTTCCTCTAGTGCATTGAGATTTGCAGAGATGGTTAGGACATTAGAGACAGTAAACTCATCTGGGTCCAATCTAGAAGCCTGCAACTCCCTGAAAAGTGCTAGCCCTTCATGGTAGTTTTGGTTCAGAGAATACGCAGAAATCATGGCATTCCAACATTTTATATTTCTCTCCGTAATCCCATCGAAAGTTTTTTGTGCATCTTCGAACCTCTTGTGCTTTGAATAACCAGCTATCATGGCTGAGTTCACTATTGGGTTTCTTTGATGCATGTTATCGAACACTAGAGATGCATTGAGTAGAGAGTTACACTTCACATACATTATTACGAGGGTAGTTTCTATGGATGTGTGAGAGTTGAGGCCAGCCTTGATGGCATGTCCATGAAGAATCATGCCTCTATCTAGTGATCTTATGCTGGTGCATGCCCTCAAGAGTCTTATCATGGGACCTATCTCCATTGATGGGCTCTATTTTCCGTTCTCTTGGAAGCATGATCCAGGAATGTCATGCTTTACTGCATTGCATCAGTAAGCTGTCCATCTCTCTCTCATTGTTATGGATGTGCACACTGAGATATGCATCTAATCATGCCGTCAATAATTTAAGATTTGGGTTTGGGTCAATATGATAGCAGCTGATTTCCGTTTGATGGGACTTCAATGGTTATCACTGTCCGTTTGATGGGACTTCAATAGTTCTGTCCGTTTGATGGATTTTGCGATAGAGAAAGAATGGGTCCAGAAGAGCAAGAGACGACCCTAACCGTAGCGTCTGTCCTTTCAATGGGTAAGGTTCACTGGACAGTTGTATTTATAGAAGTGAAAACATTTGCTGCTCCTGTGGGAGCATGTTGTGCACTTGCTCCCTTGGACATATTTCAATCCTGGAGTATCTTTTCGGCCCCAAGTTTTGAGATGTAACATCTAGGACCTAGCAACCAACCTCAAAGACAAAATTTGAATCTCACTACCAAAAAACTGAAGTATCCCAAGATTGAACCTGAACTGTCTAATTTTTGGAGAGGAAGATTGATGTCTTCGAGAACTCATAATCTATTTTTTTGCTTTGTTGCACAGGGTGTGGGAATGGGGTTGGGGCATCGGTCTTTAGGAGGGGGCATGTCATATTCCACTCCCTATTCCCACAGTTAACATATTAGGGGAAAAAAATGGAGTTGTACAGTATGGTCCAACGGGAGCATGCTAAACGTGCTCTCGATATAAAAAAAGGACTCTGACTATAATTTACTTATCCCACATGCGAATATGCGTAGAGTCGTCTGGTAATGCATGTATGTTGTATAACCATGTATGCCATGCATGGGTGTGTACGTGAGAGCCTAGTTATGTTAGAAATATACACTGTTAATTAATTAATGGGTTATGTTAGAGTGTTCACATTATAGAATAATTTATCATTGTAGTTAATAAATTTTGGATACTTCTATACTTTTAATTTATTTAATTTAATTAAATAAATGAATATAGATCTATATTACACATGAACAATGTTGGAAAAGAAAGAGCGAATTCATAAAAGAGTAGAAACTTTATGATTACATAGTTTGTTAAAAGAATTTGAGTACCACCTGGTCCAAATTGCAGTGCATGGATAATGCCAATGTTCGAGTCGGAATGGGGTTTGAGCATTGGTGTTTTAGGGCCTCATTCTCAACATGATATTAAAATGCGGGGTCACCCATTCCTGTACGACGATAAATCGCTTAAAGGGTTTTATGATTGCATGAACTTAAATTGCTAACTAAGTCATTTCCAAAATTTATCTCTTTTCAAAATTATTCTTTTAATTTCTCTTTGTTAATTTTAATTTCTTAATTTCTCACTTTCTAATTTTAGTTTCTTAACTTTTACTTCTTAATCTCTCAATTTTTAAACTCCAAAGGCAAAAGACTAATTCAGTTTGGATGTTTTCAAAAAATTTATATTTGTTATTTCGAAAACTTTATTTTCTTTGATTCAAATTGTGAACTGGCACCATTCTCTATTTCTTAAAACACTCTCCTTGCTTTCAAAAGTTTTATCTCAAAATATTTTGAAAACAGAGTCAGATTAGTAACCCACATATGATGACACAATCCCATCATTAGATTCTCTTTTGATTCGGAGAAACAAGCTGGAGTGATCTTGAAGACCTCATGATCCTTAGGAACCATGAACTTAGAAAGACCTACCCAATTGAGGCATTTGAGACTCAGAAATCCGGACCTAGTAGCGTATGACGGAACTCAGGCAGCAAGCCCGGCATGTCCTCTAGCGAGAACTTTCGAAAGATGCTTAGATCATAACCCTGTGAGAAAAAGACCCAAGTGCGAACCCTGAGTAGGATGGCATACGGTATTTGCCAACATCCCCGATAGGACAACTATTTTTCGATCACTCAACTTTGGAATTCATGCGTCTAATGTCTACTTCTTTGCCACTTTCTTGGTGTTTCTCGAAGAACAGGGACTGGTAGAGGGGTAATTGTAGACATCCATTTTTAGGCTAGTTTGTACCATAAGCTGCCTAACTCACTTGCTAGATCACACACGATATCATGATCCTTAGGACTGTCTGCCAAAAGGCCAAAGTTCAAGCCAATTGGTACTAGAAAAGATTTAAAAATGCCTGGAAGGGCAAAAAAATTGTCAAACCAATTGCTTGCAATAAATGGGGGAGTCGGTATCTAAGCACAGTGTTGTTATGAGCTGCATTGTCCAAACTGCTGGACACAATGAATATTCTTTGTTTAGGCTCTAAATAACCTATTTGAGACCAAAAGAGGACCTTTTTTGGGACACCATGGAATGCTTTCACCTTTTAAAATATCCCCAGCATCCAGCATGTTACAGTGACCTCCATGCATATTTCCAAACCAGTTTCCAATCAGAAATGTCTTGTTCATCAACCTTGTCAAATTGACTACCAAATCCAAAAGGTCACAAGGTACTAAAGGACAATTCCAGTTAGACCTCTTGAAAAAATGCCGGGTTGACGTATACTAGAGGCAGTCTGATGTGCGTTCTTGACTCAGGAGTAAGAAGAATAAGAAGTTTCTTTTGATCTATGTTGTCAAATTCGCTTTGTTTCGGCCAAGCTTTTGGATTTTAGGCCGAAGCGACGAGAAGCCTAGTGCTGCCGCTTCGTTTAAATTTGGGCCCCTTCCAGTTGCTTCGGTTAGAAAAGAAATACCTATATAAAAGTATTATTTCAATTTACTTTTATTTTTTTTCTAATTTTTTCTATTATTTTTATATATCTTGTACATAAATATTTAATTTATTTATATTAAATTGAAAAAAAAATCCAAAGTCTTCCTTTCAATCGGTTGAAGCACCGAATTGCTTCATTTTTCTCACCAAACTGAAGAAAACTTTGAAGTGAATTTGACAACATTGCTTTCGATTGTACTATATGTATATTTAATTTCAAGTGTTCTGTACTGCATCTTGTTTTATTTTCATTCACTATACAACTGGTGTCCCACAGATAGGTCAGTTTCCCCATGAGATCAACCTATCTTTGAAAGTTTAAGGTGAGGTCATCGCCAACTGTAAGGCAGATTTTTATCGTAAACACTGGAAGAAAAAGAAGTGGTTGAGGTGATAAAACAAGCTTGGTTAAATATAACAGTACTTTGGGGGAATATCTTTTGTTTAAAACCTGCTATCTAATGATAAAAAATAAAAATCTCCTAAATCTGAAACATAATTTGCTAAATTGGAAGGGAAATGCCACTCCAACATTATCAACCAGTGAATCTCAGATCTACTAAGGAAAAGTAAGGAATTGGACCTATTGGAACAAGAGCAGTTGGGACATAATGAAGAACAGATTTTAGAGCAAATTGGGTTTAATAATGATATACACAATGGCCTTAGAATGGCTGAGATATATTAGAGGCAGAGATCAAGAGCAAGAGGGCTGAAAGAGAGCGATCTTAATACATTTTTTTTTTTCACAGTATCGCTTCTTGGAGTATCGCTAATGCAAGAAGCATGTTGAATGGTATAGATGGCTCACACATTGAAGATGTTTAAGGAGCTGAGGAAGGAGTGGAAAAAAGCTATAATTAAGCATTTTGGAGTGGAATTCACAACTACAAGAGAGTAAGAACAAATTTGAGGAATGTGCCTTTTGAAGTCCTGCTAGCATATAAACAATAAAATTGGTAATGGTGTTCTTGATGGTTGAAGAGTTTTTTGTTGAGGTGTAATTAATAAGGCTATTGATTCTATATATATATATATATAGCCCTAGTTCCAAAAAAAAAAAAACACTTATTGGCCCCCTAAATGATATTCATTCCGTTAGCCTACTATCAAGTTTAAACAAGATCATTGTGATCCTTACAAGAAGGCTTAAAACTGTGTTGCTTATGGTGATTAATGGACCACAATCTACTTTCTTTTAGAGGAGGCTTATATTGATAGTATTCTGATTGTATAGAAGTGCATACATTCAAGGTATAGGGATAATTGACTAGGCATCTTTTATAAATTAGATATTGAGAAAGCCTATGATAGAGTGTGGATTGGGAAGGTTTAAAAGAAATTATGTGGCGTATGGGGTATGGGGTTTGGAGAAAAAATGGAGGAACTGGATGAGAGGTTGTCTTGTGGGTACTCATTTTTTAGCGCTCTTCAATAGTAGTCCCAAAACATTTTTCTAGGTTATAAGGGCTATTAGGCAAGGAGAACCCTTATCCCCTATTTTGTTTACGTTAATAGGAGAAGCCTATGAGTGTTATGTTGAAAAAAGTAAAAGAAGAGGGTTTCATTACAGGGTTTAAAATTTCAATGGCTGCTCCAAGCATTTCTCACCTTCAATATGCCGATGATACATTGACTTTTGTGATGCATGTGTCTATCATATTTTGTTTTTAAGAATGTTATTTAGCTACTGTGAATTTTTTTTAGACTCAAAAGTAATTTTTGAGAAGACTAATTTGATTGGCATTACTTGTGAGAAGTGGTTGGTAGCTTGGCTGCTCTTTTTGTCTATCAAGTGGATCAATATCTCATAAAATATTTGGGTTTACTTATCTCAGATGGTAGAACTCCTAAATAAGTTTGGGATATTGTTATCTAGAGGTTTCATGTTAAATTGGATTTATGGAAGGATAAATATTTATCACTAGGAGGGAGAATTACATTGTCGAAGTCTACCTTATCTAATAGGCTAATCTACTATATATTTCTTATATACCTAAGGCAGTGGTTCGCCCGTTGGAGAGGTTAATGAAATAATTTCTTTGGGAGAAAGTTTGTACTCCTAAGAATGATGGGGGTATAGGATCGAGGAAATTTAAAATTATAATAAAGCTCTATTGACTTAGTGGTGGTGGAGTACTCAAGAGAAAGATAATTTATGGAGACAAATACTAGCAGCAAAGTAAGGCTGTGATAGAATTCAAGGTTGGTTAGGTTGGGAAGAAGTGGATGGGCATGTTCATCTATATGGAAAGGAATTATTCATTGTAGGCTCTTTTTAGACCAGCATGTGAGGTTTGTCATAGGAGATGGGGAAAAATTTTGTTTTGGCACTATAGATGGTTGGATAGTATTACCTTGATGTATTATACCCAAATCTTTTTCATATGGCAGCAAATCAGCATGTAAAAGTTAGAATTGTTGTGCAAAGTAGGGATTTTCAGAGTAATTGGGAGTTTAATTGCATATAGAATAAGGTTTTTAATATGGTCATTAAGCAATTAATCAACTGCTTATTCCCTACAGAGTTGTAGGTGTATTTAAGTCTTGAGAGAGCAGATGGATTGGAAAGGGAGATGGAAGCCGCGTGTTAGTTCAATGACGTGTATAGGTGGAGAAAATCAAGAATTGTAAAGATTTGGAAGTGGTCAGTCTCACATAAAGTACATACTTTCCTATAGTTATTGTCACTCGTAAGCAGTTAATCACGGAAAATTTGCTTAAAAGAGATAAGTTTATTGTTAATGCTTGTATTTTATACAAGAATGATGAAGAAACGGGTGATCATCTATGTTTGACCTGTCAATATACCTCTTTGATGTGGACGCGGGCTTCTTATAGGATCGGTTTACAACTCAATCTTCCTAGATGAGTTGCTGCTATTGTGGTTCACCATAATCTCCTAAATATTCTTAAAACATGAAAGACTATCCGGAAAGCTTTTTGAGTAGCACTTTTGTGGGAAATATGGAAAAGCGAAGAATGTAAGTGTTTTTAATGGGTTGTGCTTGAGTGTTGATATATTCAAGATGAAGGTATTGGAAACAATGACTAGGTGGTTGTCGATTAGAGGGAAAATTTGGGAGTTTCTTGGCAAGACATATTCTATAATTTGAAGGATGTTGTGTTGCAGAATTATAGCGAGATAAAAAGTTATGGGGTGCGGAAACCTTCGGTTCAAGGATTGATTAAACTCAATTTTGATGGTAATTATTGAGGAAATCTTGGTCCAACTCGAATTCAAGGATTAGTGAGGAATCATATGGAAAATAATTTCATGACTCTCTCTGGACCGCATGGAGTTGCAATTGCCAATGAGGCAAAAATACTGGCTTTATTGTGGGGTCTGAAAATTAGTAATAAAATTTAGTTAGGTAATGCTACCGACGTGGAAGGAGATTATTTGAATGTTATTAAGCGGTAGAAATTAGAGCAACAAGTGCCCTAGAATCTGAAATCTTTGGTGATTCTAAGTTTTAGAATTTTGTAATACGTTGAATGCTCCTTTATACATGTTTACCGTGAGTTAAATGAGGCATATGATCTTGCCAAGTAGGGTACACATCTAGAAGAGTTAGTAGTGAGGTGATTCATGTAGGATTGCTTTGTACTTTTCATTTTTCTTTTTTATATAATTTGGGGTTGGTTTATTAACAAGATTAAAGAACTGTGTTAACATTTAAAAAAAAAAAAAAAGAATTCAAAAACTAATTTCAAAAAAAGATATTAACCGTTGAGGTTTCTCGCAATAATCTCAATCAAGCACTCTACAACATACATATATGGCTTCAGATATGGTTATTTGGAACCTTTGACCTTCTAAGGGAGGCCACATAAGGGGGCTACCATGCCATCTAATTCCTCTACTCAGTCTACTCTTTTTCTTTCAAAAAGTTAAATCTTACAGAGCTTTATGCTCCTTTACTTGAGACTCTATTCATTAAAAGGGAAAAGCAAGAAAGAAAAAGCAAAATAAAGGACTCCTAAAGAGGCCTCATATCCACACTGTCACCCACATAATAACAGCAAGTTGAGAAGAATAATGAAAAGAAAGAGGGAATGAATGTCTTGGGTATGATCACACCTTTCTTCTACCTTGTAAAAATTTTTGAACATCACTCATAGGATCAAATAATGTACTTAATAAAGTTCTAAAAAATATTTAAAATGAAGTTAAAGGCAATATAATGAGAGGTCTAGAACTAATTTAGGACCAAATCAAGTACACAAAAAGAGAATGCACAACATCTTTCAAAATGAAGGCATCAGATTGAAGTTCTAGAATATGAAATAAAGCACCCCATGAAAGTTGAACTCCTTGGAATAAATAATTATTGGGATCTTTCTTCTTTCCCAAGTTAGAAAGAGATAGTATGCATCATGGTTGTTATTTGTTAATACTTTCGGATAATAGGATGCATGGCATTCTTGTAACATTTTTGGGTAGTTCAACAGTAGGAATCGAACTTGAAATATAGTATAGCTAATGTCCATTGCTGATCATTCAGTTCCAACTGCTTGCTAATTGCACCAAAAGCATGTTAAATACTCGAG